TAATATCACACTGTAGTGGCACATTTAATATTAAAACTTGGGCAGTATTTAACTTTCCATATAAAAAAAGATTTAATCCAAAAGGATTCAACTTCTTATTTTTCAAAAGGAAAACGATAACTAAATGCACTTTATTGTACATAAATCTGACCGTGATATATATAGGAAGGTAGATAAAATTCACGATATATATTGGAAGGTAGATAAAATTCATGTAATCCTGGTTAGATCCTTATAATCTCACAAATAAGTAAATTACTTAAATTAATTAAAATCCTACAATCCATATAAGTTATGCTTTAAACAAATAAAATTTGTTTACAGGTAGAGATGATAGAGCTCATTTAATCCAATTAATAAACAAAAATTCTCACCAATCCACTTTGTGGATTAGACAGTGATGTTTGGATTTGTAAGGTCTACCACAGGTCTCAAATTAATTATCGGAATCATTTATTTTTTTAAACCACAATGTATAAATTATCTATATAACAAATCATGTCAATTCAATAACAACAACTAAGTTAATTTATTACATTTGTCTCCCAAAAAATAGATGATTTTATTTTCAAATAATATTTATCTTTTTTTCTTCTTTTTTTTTTTTGCAAATAAATATAAACTATTTTTTTTCATGAATAAGCTAAATATTATAATTTAAAAAATAAACGACACGAATTATTGAAATGGACCTATAATGAATGCCACGAGCTCCAACATCACCCCCATACTAAGCTTGCCCAAAAATTACTGTCCCATTTATGTACAATAAAGTGCATTTAGTTATGGTTTTCCTTTTAAAAAATAAGAGGTTGAATTCTTTTGGATTAAATCTTTTTTTATATGGAAAGTTAAATACTGCCCAAGTTTTAATATTAAAGCTCCACAAAGAGCTTTCTGGTTTTGTCAAAATTAACTATAACGTTAACATTGATTTTCTTTTCATTTTGGGTAAATAGTATCACTATTTGACTAGTATTATTATGGTGTTTTGTTCGGATTTTTTTTCAAATTTAAATATGAGTTTCACCATTATATTCGAATTCATGATACCCATTTTGGTTTCTATTGTAATGATCTTAATGAATTAAAGCATAACTTAAGTAATAACTTAACCTGTAAACAAATTTTATTTGTTTAAAGCATCGCTTATATGGGTAGGAGGATTTTAATTAATTTAAGTAATTTACTTATTTGTGAGATTATAAGGATTTAACCTGGCATTATAGGAATTTTATCTACCTTCCTATATATATCGTGCAAGCACATTCCAAGCTTTTCACAGAAATCCCATCTAGAAAATAAAAATATAAAAAAAGAAAGAAAAAGCTTTTCACACAAAAGCTCAAAAATGGTCTCACTAGCCTATTTTGAAGTCCTCTTAGCATTCATCTTCTTCATTATCTTGTATATCTTTGGTGACAACAATGACTTGCCTCGGAACTAGCCGGTTCTTGGCATGTTGCCCAGCATGCTCCGCCATGTGAACCGGGTTCATGAAATGTGTACCGAAATCCTAGGGCGAACTGGGGGTACTTTTTTGCTAAAAGGCCCTTGGTTTGCTAACATGGACATGTAGGCACACTTGATCCTGTTAAAGTGCACCACGTCATGAGTTCCAATTTCCCTAATTTCCCTAAAGAACCTGAGTTCATGAAAATGTTTGACGTTTTGGGAGATGGGATTTTCAACTCTAATGCAGATCTATGGAAGAATCAGAGAAAGCTCGCCCGCGTGTTGATCAACCACCAGCGATTCTACCGGTTTTTAGTCAAGACTAGTCTGGGAAAAGTGGAAATGGGGTTGATCCCGATTCTTAACCATGTGTTCGAACAAGGCTTGATTGTGGACTTGCAAGATTTATTTCAAAGGTTCACATTTGATACTACTTGTATTTTGATAACTTGTTATGACCCGGGTTGTCCTTCAATTGAATTTCCAGATGTACCCTTTGCAAAAGCCTTGCTTATGAGGCATGTCGTGCTTGAAACCATGTGGAGGATCCAAAGTTGGCTAGGGATTGGACACAAGAAGAAATTAAGCGAGGCTTGGAAAACCTTAGATCGCGTTATCAATAAATATGTATCGATGAAGAAAGAAGAAATGAGCAAAAAAGATGAGTTAAAAGAGGGAGAAGAAGCTGTGGACTTACTAACATCATACTTGATTGAAGAAGACACCTTCAATCAGGTCTGGCCCTGAGGACAGGCCAAAGAGGCTTGCGCCTTGGGCTCTCAAATTTGGGCTAAAAATATGGCCCCAAAATATGATTTTGTGTTTTAGATTAAAAAAAAAATAAAAAATCCAAATACTATATTGTATATAGGGCCTAAAAAAAAAATATCATGATAGATTAGAGGCCCAACTGACATGGGCCCAAAAACAAGAAACACATTAAATTTATAATACCCACCCTGAGCCTAAGAACGTGGGTCATTGAAAGAAAAGAAACATGGAAAGAAAAACATCTCTCTCTCTCTCTCTCGTTTGATGATCTCTCTCACATGCTTGGATGATAAACCTTCAGTCCTCTCCTCTCTGCTCATATTTCGATGGATGCTGAGCATTAAACAATTTTGGGCATCAAAACGTGAGTCTCTCTCTCTCTCTCTCTCATATAATTATTATATATATATATATCACATTCAAATAGAGGAAGTTGTTCCTCAAATTTCTGCCCTAATGTCTTTCCCCTAATTTTTCATTCCTGAATTGTTCTCTACCTATGATTTGTTCTTTTAATTAGACAAGATTACCTAATTTATGGCTTTAGTGGAAGTTATCAATTTTTGTTATGCGCTAATTCTGAGTATATTATTTGCAGAGATCAGACTGAGTGAATTGTGTGGATTTGTGATTATATAGAGTAGTCAGGCCTCCTAGGAAGTATATTTCTGGATGTGAAAAAACGAAAAAGAAATAAAAATTAAAAAATTTTATTCAATCTCAATCGGGATGTGAAATTGTAACTTATCGTTTTATCTATCAACTTTTTCTTTTTTTTTCAATGTAAGAAAGTCCCCATTTTTGAAGGTTCCCTTGGGTCTCCTAAATCTCAAGACTGGCCCTGCCTTCAATTTAAAGCGCGATGATAAGTTCTTGAGGGACACTGTTTTGAATCTCATGCTTGTAGGGCGAGACACGACTAGTTCAGCTCTGACATGGTTTATTTGGCTTGTTTCGCAGCATCCAACCGTTGAAGAAAAGATCATAGAAGAGCTTAAATTGGTTATACCTGAAGGAGAAACTGAGAAATCGCAGCTTTTTGAGGAAAAAGAGCTAAGTAAGTTGGTTTATTTGCATGCTGCATTGTGTGAGTCATTGAGGCTTTACCCACCAGTTCCAATCCAACACAAGGAGCCCACTCAAGTGGACACATTGCCCAGGGGGCACCGTGTGCACCCGAAAATGAAAATACTTTTCTCTTTGTATGCAATGGTGAGGATGGAATTTGTGTGGGGAGAGGATTGCTTGGAGTTCAAGCCAGAGCGATGGCTATCTGACTCATGAACAATCAAACATGAGCCATCTTACAGGTTCTTCACGTTCAATGCAGGACCGAGGACTTGTTTGGGGAAAGAAGTTGCTTTCACTCAAATGAAGGCGGTTTCGGCTGCAATAATCCATAACTACAATGTTAGAGTTGTGAAAGGTCACCCTGTGGTTCCTAATGCTTCTATCATTCTCTACATGAAGCATGGATTGAAGGTTAGAGTTGCCAATAGATGGATTTGAGAGGAGTACTTGGTTTGATGATGTTTTGAAGTGATTTTTAGTTGGGTTGTGTGTTTGAGTTGATGATCTATGTATTTGAGTTTTGGTATAAGTCTATTATGTAATAAGGAAGTGTGTGTGTGTTAGATTTGTTGTTTTTCACACTTCTCTGTCTCGTTTCTTAGTAGGGTTGTAAGTGGTTGGTTGGATTTAGGGATGGCAATGGAGGACAATGGGGTGGATATTAATTCTCCATCCCCATTCCCCTATAATAAATTTTCTCCATTCCCCATGGGTACCACCCTCCCAATTTCTTAATGGGTATGGATTTTCCCCTACCCACTTTAATCTCCATTTTTATTTTTTATATTTAATGTTAACAACCACTCTTTTTTTTTTTTTTTTTTTTTTTAAATGTTCACAACAAAAGCTAAATATGCCTTCAATCTTTTTTCTTTCTTTTTAAATATATTTAATGTTTAACAAATTTTTTTTTTAAGGTTTTAGCTAAATATACCTTCAATCTTTTTTCTTTCTTTTTTAATATATTTAATGTTAACAACTTATTTTTTTATTTTTTTAAGGTTCACAACAATAGCTAAATATACATTCAATCTTATTTTATTTTATTTGGTTCAACAACAAAATCAAATACACATTAATTAATTAATTAAAAAGTTTGTTTTATAATAATCAAATATATAATTTTGAGACAATCAAATAAGTTTTAGTAATTGAAAAAAAAAATGTGGAAGAACGTGGAAGATTAAAAAAAAATTACAACCATCTCTCTCTCTCTCTCACACTCTCACTCTCACTCTCTCCCCTACATGTTACAAGAACCTGATTACAATGTTATAAGAGCCTGTTTGAAGAAATAAAATGTGAAAGAACGTATTTTAAGAAAGTGTTATAAGACCCATATTAAATTGCATCAGGGCATAAATAAGGAATTGTTTGTTGATCTCTTAGCCACAGATATTTTAGACATTAAACCATATTTCTCTTAGCAAATTTGAACCATTCATTTTAATTTATCCAAAATCTAATTATACCTTTAACAAATCTGAACCACTCATTTTAAGATATCTATGCCTTACCACACCCAATCCATCCTCCATCTTCTTCCTTTAGTCTCCCACGAAGTTTGTTGTTTGTTACTTTTAAAAAACAAAAAATGTTTTTTCAATTAAATTTTTACTAATTTCACAACACCATCACCACTATTCTCACCTTCACTGTCACAGTTCTCACATTCACTGTCACACTACTATCACCATAGCCACTACTATCATCACTGCCGCCATCACCCCACCACTATATCACAATCTCTAGTTTCACCTTCGTTCCATCACCATCACCACCAAATATAAAAAAAATATATTTTTAATTTTTTTTATAAAAAATATTTTTCATTAAAAAATATTTTCTATCTAAATAAATGAAGCATAACATTGGGAAACAAACTGATTTCAGTTAAATCTGTTCATAACTAAGAAAAATTCTTTTATTTGAAACAAAATTATTTAGTAAGACTTTGTATCCCTTTTTTGTTTTTCCAGCAAATAAATCTTTGTACACATCCTTTCTAACCAATCACGACTCATGCTTGTTTTGATTCTCTACAATTTCCTTATTTTCAAATACATTCATATACATATATATATATATATATGTATATATATATATGTTTGTATAAATTGTGTGATAACATAAAACAAATAGATTCATACTCGTTAATTGAAATTTTAGAATAAGCAAACCATTTTGAAAATTACAATATATAACAAAATAAAATAACATAGAAAAGCAAACCGAAACGTGCACTAGACAGTGCCCTTAATTTTTTTAAATAAATTTAAAAAATTCTAGATATGCATAAAATTTGACAAGAATAATGTGACAATGTTAATTAATGTGTATTTGATTTTATTGTTGAGCCAAATAAAATAAAATAAGATTGAATGTATATTTAGCTTTTTGAATCTTAAAAAAAAAAAAAAAAATGTGAACCTTAAAAAAAAATTAAAAAAATTAAAAAAAAAACCAAAAGAAAAAAGATTGAATGTATATTTAGCTTTGGTTGTGAATCTTAAAAATTAAAAAAAAAATGGTTGTGAACCTTAAAAATAAAAAAAAATAATAATAAAAAATTAGATGTATATTTAGCTTTGGTTGTGGATCTTTAAAAAAAAAAATAAAAATAAAATTTGATTGTGAACCTAAAAAAATAAATAAATAAATAAAAGAAAAAAGATTGAATGTATATTTAGTTTTAGTTGTGAATCTTAAAAAAAAAAAAAAAAAAACATATGGGGAAATTAGTGGGTACCCATCCCCAACCCATCCCCTATGGATATTTAAAGAATATCACTTACCCTACCCAATGGATAAGAAAAAAGGAGAAACCCATATATTTGGGTTGGGTCTCCATAAATACCCACAGGATAGGTTATCCATTGCCATCCCTAGTTGGATTCTTTTGTTTTTTTGTTTGGTGTTTGGATGGATTGTAAAAAGATAAGGTGATGGGATTATATGGCTATTTTTGTTAACTCCAAAATACAGATAGACATGAAGATAGAAAAATATGCCTTGGATCGTCTATACTCAACAAGTCTCAATCCCATCCATGCACTCATAGGAAACCAACAATAATTGATACAATATTATTGAAAATCCTATCAAATTTTGATATCCACAATTAAATCCTATTTTTGATAACTTGTTTCCAAAAAAATAATTTCTCCATCGTCATATGTTTTGTTCCAAGTTTACGTTTGAAAGAAAATCTTTTTGAAATTTTAAAAATATGCAAATTCTATTAAATAAAAACGTAGACATAAAATTCATTTTTTTTTACCTCACCCTTTGAAAAGTATCTGGATTTGCTATGGTAGTATTTCCCTCTTTTAATGTAATATTAGTAAAACTAGGTTTTTTGAATTATTTACCACATATTTTCATTATATGAGACAACATAAAATGATGAATCTTATGCCAGAACTTTTGATCAAATTCTTGTTTATAATATTGTTCAATATAATTTGTTTAATTTTTACAATTAAAAATATAATTTTTAAGTAAATTGAATTTTTTTATACAATTTTTTATTTATATTTAATTATAAGGGTAGATTTGGAATAACAAGCCATTAAGAAGAAGCAAAATTTTTGGGAATAAGTTATGAAGAAAAAGACTTAATTATTCACAATGAAATTTGATTAGACTCATGAGGAATCTTAATAGTAAAATATAATTTATTGGTAAATTTTTTTAAAAGAAGAAATTAAAATAAAAAATAATTATTTCACTAATTTGATTGCTAATTTTATTAATCAGATTACATATAAGTCGGACATTCAATTTGACAAAATTGACGAATTTTTAACATTGAGAGGGGTTGGGTTAGGGATCATAATTTCTGATATGAAAGGGAGAAAAAAATGAATAGATAACTTATCTTACTAATTTAATTGAATAACTAATCTTATATTAATTTATGAAATTATTAATTCTTTTACTATTAATTAAATAAGGCCAAAGGAAATAAATAGAGAGATAGAGAGGGAGAAGGGATTGTTTGGTCACATAGAAAATAAAATTAAAAGCATTATAAATTAATTCAACCAGAATAAATTGCATGATTTGATTTAATATAATATCTTTAATATATGATTGAGTCTTGATTATTAAAATAAGTGAATACACTCTAGGATTTGGTCTATGATTTTAGGATTGGAGGTCCTGCTGCACGGCAAGTTTGCTCGGCAGTGTTTTGGACCTTTTTTTACAATTGTCAAACGGGTACAAAAAATATAATTATAAGTTTGCCGACAAGAATAGAGTTCGTTGGACCATTGATTGACCCTCAACTAAAGGAGTTATTATTGGTTTGATTTGCATTATGGGTAGGCTTCTGTCCAGTCTAGACTGGATCGTGTTATTGGGTCCGTGGAGGTTTAACACGGATCCTGTTTTGATAATCTTAATCGTCAATGTGTAAAACTCGTCGAATAATATATGTTTGTAAAAAATCACGTTGATCGGATATCGATAGCTATATGATCAAATCAGTTTCGTATTAAAAAAATTGGACGGTGAACAAATTAATGGTTGACAAAAAATTGTTTTGATCACATAGTTATCGATATCCGATCAACTTGATTTTTTATAAGCATATAGTACTCGACGATTTATACATATCATGCGGTTCAAATTATCAAAACGGGACCCATTGTGGACTCTCATAGACCCAACAATATGGTCCAATCTAATCCTAGGGTGGACATAAGTCATACCCTTGCATTATAAACCAATCTAGTTCACCTTGTACCGCATGAATAAATTAAAGGGGCCATTTGATGCTTCAAATCCAAAATGGGAGGACCAACCGCTACGTTTAGGGGTGGTTTGGGATGATTTAAATAAGTATATTTTTAAATTTTTTATGAAATATGAATTGGGTATGAATTGAGTTTGAACTGATGTGATAGAGAGGCGATGTAACTTAAATAAAATAATGTGATTTAAATAAGATAGTGACTTAAATAAGATAGTGATTTCTTAACAATCGTATTTGTAATTTTTTTAAATTTAAATTTTGTCATATCATTATATTTATATCATATTATATTCATAGGTCACTGATAATTCTATTTACATTATATAATTTCTATTATTTGAAAAATTGAATCGTTGAACGCAAGAAATGATGACAGATAAATGTTTAAAAAATATGATAATTATAGTATTACTTTAATGTTGTGTTTGGATTACGAATTTGGATAAGAATTAAAAAAAAAAAAAAAAAGAAGAAGAGAAAATGTGAGTGAAATATAAATGAACTATAATTACATTTTATTTATATTTTATCCACATTTAAAAAAAAAATTCTACCCAAATTCATGCAAAATACCATTGTAACCCTTAAAATGATCATGTAGAGAGAGGGAGAAAAAGGGAGAGAGCAGACTTCTACCTTTTACAAATAGGGCATGTTGGACCACTGAGATCCCAACAACAATATGAGCCAAACAATATTTCCTTCCAGGCTAATGGAGACTTATGTGCTGGTATGATAGACCGGACTTTATACCAAACCGCCTTGATTAATGAAATTAATAGTAAAAATTAATAATTTTATGAAATAGTGTAAGATTAATAATTCAATTAAATTAGTGAGACAACCATTTTTTTCTTTTACTTTTATCTAACTCTAGGTACGAATTCCTTGCTTGTATCTCACCAATTTAAAGAATCACATTCATATTTA